CTCGAGCTCACGTCTACAATTGTACAAGAATCCAAGTTCCGTTTGTCAGCCATACATGTATTTATTGAAAAGTGAACGTAGAAAGTGAAACCGTGAAATTTGTACCAAGATGACACAAAAATGGACGGTCTCTCCAACTATTATTTTTAAATACCTTCAATGTGCAAAAGGAAGTAAGACTGACTATTCTGAACCGAACTGACCAACGTTCGTTTATCAGTTATAATCCGAAGAGCTGTCTTGATTTGTTTACTTTTATTTCTTAATCATCCGTAAATCGTTATCCAGTCATCCACGACTTCTTTGTTCACCAGTAGACCTTGTCACGGTTTTCGACGTCATCTTGAAGAGTAGGCAAACGCGTTAAAAATTACAGTGTTTGTATGAGAATCTAATGTCGAATAGTTTCCGCAGAACGGCTGTTCTGAAAAAAATATCAATTGTAAACTAAAGCTTCACTCCTAAGGATTCTAGTGAAAAAAAAAAAAAAAATGAGAAGGTTACATGCGCTAAAAGACCTAGAGCCACTGTTTTGAATTTTCTTTACATTTTTCTGTAAGAAAGTCCCGGGAAAATTACGGACAAATATGTGCAAAATCTAAAGCAAGCCTCTGGAGACATTTAAGCACGGGTACGCCCCTATTTTTTTTAGTACAATCCTTTGTTTCGTGGCTTTAGTTTACAAGTCATATTTTTTCAGAACAGCCGTTTTACAGAAATTATTCGACAGTAGATTCTCATTCAAACACTCTAATTTTTCAGACGTTTGCCTACTCGTCAAGATGGCGTCGAAAACCGTGACAAGGTCTATTAGTATCAGTATTCTCGAGGCCAAAACTGAAAAGAAATGAATTTTTCAAAGACCATGTTGATTTATAGACCCAACTTGAATACTAAATCACTGTTAAAACTATTTGCTTATATTGCATTTTGTCCACTTAGTAAACCAATTAGAACCTTGGAGAAGCAACCTGAAAAAATAAACTTGAGTTTATCAAGTACCGATTTGTTTATAAAACTTTTCTTGCTTGCTAATCACTTGAAGAACTATTTGCCTATATTGCACAATCATCCAAGACTGGACAAGTAGCCATCGGATGTAAGAATCACTTTAACTTTTTTATTTTACAATTTAAAAGTAAGGTAAAAATGGCAATGATAGAGGCGAACAAAAAGGTAAAAATGAAAAAGCAATATATTTAAAAAAATGGCCTTTTTAACCACATCTTCATTACCTATACAAAATTTGCTTTCCCGTATGCATTTTATTCAACTGCATCATGGGAGAGAGTAGAACGTTCTCACTTCCGGGCCAGTATCTATGCAAATGTATCAAAAACAAACCGTAAAGGACTGGTTTACATTGTTCACACTGTTTACAGGTAGCCATTACGGCACCTGAAAGAGTACCGATAACCCACCCAGCCCAGGAAGGATGACCACATCACCGGGGTCTGCTTCCCCTACTCCTTTCGATCGAACAGTGGTGTGGGCTCTTTTACGTCCCACAAGAGCCAGGTGGAAGTGCTGTGAGACGGGACCTACGCTTTACCCTCCTTATCCTTGGTTATACACCAATATAATGGTGTTTCATTGTTTTGGGACACCAGTCAGTGGCAAACATGACGTCATATCAAAACGCTCTAGATTTCTGACCGCACTACCAGACTAAAAGAGCAAAACTGTTGCTGAAACTTTTTCTATTTCAGTTTCAAAGACTTAAAAAATATTAAACTTTTTATATCAGGCAAAAGCAAATAGAAACTTACAAAAAATAAAATATATAACAATAACTTTGCACTTGCCGGGAATCGAACCCGGGCCTCCCGCGTGGCAGGCGAGAATTCTACCACTGAACCACCAGCGCTTTTACGTTCATATACATTGAATTTCCAGGATTGCTTTTGAAATCCCATTGGATGGTTAAACATCTAGAAATTTACGCAAAAAGAATTTTGTCAAGATCCTAAGTATATTCCTCTAAACTTAGTCTCATTACAATGCCAATAATCTTTACACATCTCAACGTGCGCTATATTTACTGTAGTTTTCTTAAAAAATCATAATATTATTTTCTCAGCCGATCCAGTGAGGCGTGGTTACCGACCATTTTCCTCTACGGAAATTCGTTTGTTTGTTTTCATCATGAAAGCCGTAAATTAGAAATATAACAAAAGTATGAAATTTATGCTCGTGATATATATAGGTATTTTATTTATTTGCCACACGATTACGATAATTACAAAAAGATGCCAAAAAAAAATGTAGGAAGAGATGGCGAGGAGGCCTAAAAGAAACTATAGAGCTTATGTTAATTAGGCCTCCTCAATTACAATTTTTCGAAGATAGTATAAAAATTACGGCGACGGATACAACATAATATGAGGTGAAAAATTAAACTAATCAATATTACGGAAGTTTACAAATGTTGAATATTAAAAGGCTTTTTCCCAAAATTTTTGTTGGAGTATACTAATAATTATTACAAATAAATGCCTTAAGTGCTCTTTTAAAGGAGAAAGGTGAGGAAGCGTTGATGATGTTGGTGTTTAAGGTGTTGTAAAATTTAGGTCCTTGATAAAAAACGGAAAATTGTTTGGTTCGAGTACGACAGAAAGGCAGACGAAATTTACACGAGTTTCTTGTATTATACGAATGAATTTGACTTTGTAAGGTAAATTTACAATGAAATTTTAAAGGTAGAGTATGGTTTTGATAGGAGTACATGAATAAGCCTAGTTGTATTAAGTATATATCATGAA